CCCACACTAATCCCTCTGCCGGCCTGATTGCCCCACACAGCCTGCTTATTCAGTCGTTTGGTCATCCCACACTAACCTCCCTGCCGGCCTGGTTGTAGGCAGCCATCTTGTGAGGGTGTGAGGGTTAATTTGCATATTGCCTCTTTATTATATAGGACCCATTTAATAAATTAAAACAAACTAATAGAATTAGTTTGTCACCATTTTGTAATACCCAGTGAATGAATTGATTTAGTCATTGAGTATCGAGAGCTGCTAGCATCACAAAAAGAAATAACCATCTTCAATAAATGGTGTTGGGAAAATTTGACAGACACATGCAAAAAAATGAAACTAGACCACCAACTTACACCATACACAAGAATAAACTCAAAATGGATAAAAGACTTAAATGTAAGTTGTGAAACCATGAAAATCCTAGAAGAAACCATAGGCAGCAAAATCTCAAACATCTCTCTTTGCTAGCAATATGTTTACAGATACATCTCCTAAGGCAGTGGTCGGTAAAATGCGGCTCGCAAGCCACATGCGGCTCTTTGGCCCCTTGAGTGTGGCTCTTCCTAAGCCCTAGGAGTACCCTAATTAAGTTAATAACAATGTACCTACCTAAATAGTTTAAGTTTAAAAAATTTGGCTCTCAAAAGAAATTCCAATCTCTGTACTGTTGATATTTGGCTCTGTTGACTAATGAGTTTGCCGACCACGGTCCTAAGGCAAAGGAAACTAAGTAGGATTTAGTTTCCTAAACAAATAGGATTATATCAAAATAAAAAGCTTCTGCATAACAAAAGAAACCATAAACAAAACGAAAAGGGAGCCCACTGTATGGGAGAACATATTTGGCAATGATACATCTAATAAAGTGTTAATATCCAAAATATATAAGGAACTCATATAACTTAACAGAAGGAAGACAAACAGTCCAATTTAAAAATGGGCAAAGGACCTAAATAGACCCTTCTCCAAAGTGGACATACAGATGGCCAAGGGACATATGAGAAAATGCCCAAAATCACTGATCATCAGAGAAATGCAAATTAAAATGACAATGAGGTATCACCTCACACCTGTCAGAATGGCTACCATCAACAGATCAGCAAACGACAAGTGCTGGTGAGGATGTGGAGAAAAGGGAACCCTAGTACACTGCTGGTGGGAATGCAGTCTGGTGCAGCCATTATGAAAAACAGTATGGAGTTTCCTCAGAAAATTAAATATGCATCTGCCATTTGCCCCAGTGATCCTACTTCTAGGAATATATCCTAAGAAACCCAAAACACCAATCAGAAAGAATGTATGCACCCCTGTGTTCATAGCAGCACAATTTACAATAGCTAAGACCTGGAAACAGCCCAAGTGCCCATCAGTAGATGAGTAGATAAAAAAGCTGTGGTACATTTATACCATGGAATACTATGCAGCAATAAAAAAGAAGAATCTCTTACCCTTTGAGATAGCATGAAGGGACCTGGAGAGTTTCATGCTACATGAAATAAGTCAGTCAAAGAAAGACAAGCATCACATGATCTCACTCATGTGGAATCTAAGTAACAAAAAAAAATTGATGAACAGAATGGATCCAGAGACCTGGAAGCATGGAACAGAGTGCAGAATCCCCGAGGGAAGGCGGGGGAGGGTAGGTGGGAAGTAATCAATCAAGGACTTTGTATGCATATATGCATGGCCCATGGACACAGACAATGAGGCGGTGAGGGTCTGGGGGCAGGGGCAGGCTGGAGGGGGTCAGTGGGGGAAAAAAGGACATGTAATACTTCCAGCAATAAAGATTTATTTTTTTAAAAAGAAATAACCGGATATTATGTGCTTCTTGATTAAAGAACACAGTACCATATTGTCTTGTCAAAAGGATTGAACATGAGACTGATCAAACTGCTAATTCATTCAGCTGCCAATTTGCAGAAATACAGAAGCCAAAGAACCACATTAAATGACACGATGAGAATGGAGTGATTTTACTAGGAAACCAGGTCAACCGCCTTGGGGTTTTCAATAATTATAAGGACTAAAAAGGATCAAAGTCTAATTATATATATAATTTTTTAGGGATTTTTCTTTTTCAGAATGAACCATTTTTTGTTGTAAGTCCTTTCAGAACCCCCCAAATTACATATGTACATTCATTTGTTTGGTTTTGTGTTTATGCATACATATTCCCCATCTGACTGATTTGAGAAACATGCACTTTAATTTTTTTTCCAGATCTTATACTATCTTTTACTTTTATGTATGGTGTGAGATAGAGTTAGTTTTCTTATGTTAATCTTTTGAAGATAGGTTGCATAGAATTATATGTATGTATGAGAGACAGCAAGAAAGGGATTCTTTTGTAGATAAAAGATAAATAATGTTATTTAATAGACTAATTTTTAATTAGATTTGAAAAGGCTGAATTTTTTTCATTTGTGTACAAATTAAATGAATAAGAAAACCAGAACAACTTTAGCTTTTCATATTTACTTCACTTAAACAACTGTATCTTTAGAGATACAGTGTTCAGCTAACATTGGGGAAGAAATAGACAAATAAATATTCAGGGTTTTAAATTTCTTTTTTTAAAATTGTGGTAAAATACACATAGCATAAAATTACCAGCTTAACCATTTTTAAGTCTACAGTTCAGTGGTATTAAATACATTCACATTGTTGTGCAGCCATTACCACCATCCATCACCAAAACTCTTTCAACTTGTAAAACTGAAACTCTATACCTGTAAACAATAACTCAAAATTTTGCCCTCCTCCAACCTCTACCAACCATCATTATACTTTCTGTCTTTATGATTTTGACTACTCTAAGTACCTCATATGAGTGGAATAATAAATTATTTCTTTTTATGACTGGCTTATTTCACTTAGAATAATGCCCGTAAGGTTCACCCATGTTGTAACATAGTGCAGAATTTCCTTCCTTAAGGCTGAATAATTTTCATTGTATGTATATACCACATTTTGTTTATCCATTCATCTGTTGATGGACACTTGGGTTTCTTCCATGTATTAGCTATTGTGACTAATGCTGCTATGAACATGGCCAAACACAACATCATAGAGTTTTTGTACTACTATTTCTTCTAAGAGTCTTATTGTTTTAGGTCTTACATTTATTTATTGATATATATATAATCTTCAAGACCCTGTTTCCAATTCTTTGGGGTATATATACCCAGATTTAAAATTGCTGGATAATATGGTAATTGTATTTTAATTTTTTGAGGAACTGACATACTATTTTATATTCCTACCAACAGTACACAAAGGTTTTAGTTTCTCCACATCCTCACCAATACTTGTTTTCTGTTATTTTGATAGGTGCCCTCCTAATGGGTATGGATGGTATCTCATTGTAGTTTTGATTTGCATTTTCCTAATGATTAGTAATGTTGAACATCTTTTCCTGTGCTCATTGGCCATTTGTATATCTAATTTGGGGAAATGTCTATTCAAGCACTTTGGCATTTTTGAATTGTGTGTTTGATTTTGGTTGTTGAGTTTCAGGAGTTCTCTATATATTCTGGATATTCATACCTTGTCAGGTATATGATTTGCAAATAATTTTCCCCATTCTGTGGGTTGCCTTTTTACTCTGTGGATAGTGTCTTTTGATGTGCAATTTTTAAAAGTTTTTTTCTATAGTACAGTTTGTCTTGTTGTTGTTGTTACCTATGTCTTTGGTGTCGTGTTTAAGAATTCATGGCCAAACACAACATCGTAGAGTTTTTGTACTATGTTTTCTTCTAAGAGTCTTATTGTTTTACATCTTACATTCAGATCCTTGATCCATTTTGAATTGATCTTTGTATGTGGTGCTAGGTAAGAGTCCAACTTCATTCTTTTGCATGTGGATATCCAGTTTTCCCAGCAACATTTGTTGAAGACTGTCTTTTCCTTAGTGAATGGTCTTAGCACCCTTGCCAATTTTTTTTTTTTTTTTTTAGCATAAATGTGAGGGTTTACTTTACAGCTTTGTAATCAAGTTTTGAGATGAGGAAATTTGTGTTTTCCAGCTCTGTTCTTTTTCATGATTATTTTGACTATTCAGATCCCTTGAGATTCCAAATGAATTTTAAATTGGGTTTTTCTGTTTCTGTGAAAATAATGTCATTGAGATTTTGATAGGGATTGATTAGAACCTGTAAATTGCTTTGAGTACTATTGACATCTTAACAATATGAAGTCTTCTAATCCATGAATGTGGGATGTGTTTCCATTATTTCTGTCATCTTTAATTTCTCTCAGCAGTTTTATAGTTTTCATTGTACAAGTCTTTCACCTTGTTGGTTTAAGTTCATTTCTAATTATTTTATTTGCTCCAATGCTGTTGTAAATGGAATTGTTTTTGTCATTTTCTTTTTAGATTGTTTGTGTACAGAAATGCAACTTATTTTTGTGTATTGACTTTGTATTCTGTTACTTTGCTGAATTCATTAGTTCTAACTGTTTTTGCCAAGTCTTTAGGATTTTCTCTACATAAAATCATGTCATCTACAAACAGATTGTTTTACTTTTTCCTTGTCAATTTGGATGCCTTTCAATTCTTTTTCTTGCCTTATTGTTCTGGTTGCGACTTCTATTACTATGTTGAATAGAAGTGGTGAAGTTGACCAAAATTAACCTCAATTTATCATCCAAGTTTTCCCCTGGAAGTTATAAGCCTTTAACAGACTCCACATTTCCAAAATAGTTACATCATAGTCTGCCTGTGCAGTTGTTATGTAGGTACAGAGACAGATTCCTGGGGCTTCCTGCTACTCCATCTTTTCAGAATCTGAACTATTTTTAATCTAATAATTTCATTTAAATGTTGGCATGACTTTAAAACGGAGGCCAATTTCTCTCAGACTCTGTGTGTTAAGCCATAAAATACATTTCATACAGTTAAATATTATTGAGTATTTGCTAGTTATGAAAACTGTGATTTAATTGAATTCACTTTGCTTCTCAGGACCTCTTCATATTTAACAATTTTCTTTACTTTACAGAAATACCGGTATCGGGATGAAGATACACCTCCTCAAGAGCACATTTCCCCACAAATCGCTAATGAGGTGATAGGTCCAGAATTGGTTCATATTTCAGAGAAAAACCTGTCAGAAATTGAGAATGTCCATGGATTTGTTTCTCATTCTCATATTTCACCAATAAAGGTAAGATCATTTTGTTGCTATGAATTATATATTACTTACGTTACTAGTATAGCTCATGCTCAGAAAGAACTATTCTTTCACATAGGTTTTCCTTCTCCTTGATTTTCCTGGTTTTGTAGTTATAGGGAATTTTATAATATTTATTAGCATTCTAAGAACATTTTTAAAGATATATTTTATAAATGAATTTTATCAGGGATACTACCTTTAAGCTTAAAAATTCCTACGAAGGAAATAACTATTATAATTCAAATACCACACACTGAAATATTTTTGAACACTTATTTTAAGTATTACTAGGTACAGAAAAAACATTAACAGTTTCTTTGAAGTTCAGTATGTGGCTTTACCTGATCCCATTACCTTGCCTTCCCTCTCAGAAATAACCACAATCCTGGTTTCTTATAAAAGTCTATCACATATTTAGATCTCTGATCAGTGTATTATTTATTTTGCCTATCTTGAACTTTATACAATTAGAATTATACTGTATATAATCTCAGCTTGCACTTTTTGCTTAACATTATGTATATTCTGAGACTCATTATTTTCATTGTTCTAGTTTTCTATTTTGTAAATATACTATAATTTATCTTACTTTTGATGAACATTGAGGTGTTTATTACCAGTATAAAAAGTGCTGTTAAAAACATAGATTGTGTATACACATTTTTGTGGGCAACACCAAGATTATTTTCCAAGTGGTTGTTTTCAAAGAACCATCCCTTTTTGGAAAACGTTCTCTTGTGTCCCTCCTCCTGTGCTGCCATCTCACCCCCTTGTTTTCCTACATACGTATGCATACATATATACACCTGTTTATGTAGATATATAAATATAAATGTGTGGATAATCTACATACCAATAGAAGATTGTGTTTGATTGAAGCACTCTTGATCTTTTCTTGGGAGACTAAATGAGGGACACAGTTCTCCTTTTCTCTTTTTTATTGTGTTATTTTTTTATTTCCTGCTTTCTTTGAGTTTATTTCAGTTTGGCTTTTTGTTCTAGTTTCTTAAATAGGTTGTTTATTGCATTATCAGTCTTTTCTAATAGTATTTGAGTTTGTAAATTTTCTTTTACATAGCACTTTAGCTGTATCCTCCCAATTTTAATATGTAATGTTTTTTGTCATCTAACATTTTCTTTATGGTTTTTTTTGTTTGTCTTATGAGTTACTTAGAAATACGCTTTTTAATCTTTAAACATAGGAGACACTTCTTTCATGTCTTATTTTAGATTATATTTTCTCATCTCATTCTTTTCTTATTAGCCTAGAAGTTTTTTATTCTGCTTCTTTTCCTTTAATGGCTATCCTGGAAGTTTTAATACACATTTTTAATTTCAGAAAAATCACAATAAATATCGCTTACCCTCATTCTAAATAACATAAGAACCTTAAAACAATTGAACTCTGATCACTCCTGCTTGCTTTATATGCTGTTCTTATCAGCCTATGCCTGTTTCTCTTGACTGAAATAATATAAACTATTTCTTACTTTATTTGAAAACCCCTGCCAGGTATGTATCTTTTGTTTCTGATGTTTTGAATTTCTGGTCATTCTGATTGTTACAAACTATGCAAAGCCAGTTTGCACACACCCAACTACTCCACAATTTCTTGGTATTTTGGTAGTTATTTTCATAAGTATGCAGCTTCTGGCACAAGCAGACAATGAGCCAGCAAGCATGAAGTATTTTATATAGCCTCTTAAAATATGATGGATGAGCCCAGGCCAAGTTGCACAGTTGTTTAGAGTGTTGTCTCCATACTCCAAGGTTATAGGTTCAATCCCCAGTCAGGGAACATACATGAAAGCATAAATAAATAGAGCAACAAAAAAAATCTCTCTCTCAAATCGATAAATAAAAATTTAAGTAATATATGATGTAGCCTCAGTTCTCTGCTGTTGCATAAAATGCTCACTCTAGGCAAATAAAGCAGTATTCCAAACAAGATTTTGTTATCCAGAATTTCTAGACATTTTAGAAATTAAACCCGAAGCCTTTTTTCCTATTATAAACTTGTTATACACATTTTTCTATGTTAAAATTTTTAAAACTTCAGAAATATTACATGGTATATTTGTACCATAATTTGATGAACATTTCTGGTCTTTGCTGTTTGTTATTTCCATTTTTACTATGTTTTGTAAAGAAGGCTGCAGTAAATAATCTTTGGACATAAAAAGTGTTTGGTTTATTTCCTTAGGCAGTGGTTCTCAACCTTCTGGCCCTTTAAATACAGTTCCTCATGTTGTGACCCAACCATAAAATTATTTTCGTTGCTACTTCATAACTGTAATGTTGCTACTGTTATGAATCGTAATGTAAATATCTGATATGCAGGATGGTCTTAGGTGACCCCTGTGAAAGGGTCGTTCGACAGCCAAAGGGGTCTCGACCCACAGGTTGAGAACCGCTGCCTTAGAGTTTATTTTCTAGGAGTCACATTACTTGGTCAGAAGCATATGAACTTTCTCAAAGTTTTTGATACATTTGACAGGCTATATACTGATACAGTTATAATTTAAAAATTAGTAAAGCTGCCCTGTTTGGGGAATTTCTTCCTGCTTTTCCTATTTCATGCATAGGTTACTGTGGCAGGTACCTCAAAAAATAATTATTTAAGGATTGAGATAGACTAGGAGTGTGTGGGTAATAGGAAAATGGTTAGGGTCCTTTTAACTTTATTAGAAAATCAAATATTTAAAAAAAAACTTTTGTTTTGACATAAGATAAGTTTTAATGTTGTTGTTTTTAATTTTTTTGAGAACCAGCACAAATGTTTTAGGAAGTTCCACAATGAGATATCTTTTATTTTAGTTACGCTGTCAGTTATCAGATTAGTAGCCTCTTATAAAAAAAAAACTGCCCTGTCCGGTTTGGCTCAGTGGATAGAGCGTCGGCCTGCGGACTCAGGGGTCCCGGGTTCGGTTCCGGTCAAGGGCATGTACCTTGGTTGCGGGCACATCCCCAGTGGGGAGTGTGCAGGAGGCAGCTGATCGATGTTTCTCTCTCATCGATGTTTCTGGCTCCCTATCCCTCTCCTTTCCTCTTTGTAAAAAATCAATAGAATATATCTTTAAAAAAAACTAATATAGGGAGCTTTTCCACTTTATAGTATTATAGTTTGGAATGAAGCAATGAAGCAAGCAAGTAACTATTATACTGTACATGGAATTCAGTATATGAATTGTTTTTGTAATTTGAAAAATTATCTTTGGATAGTAATGATCTGAGTGCAAAGTAAGTTATGCACTATTTTATTCTTAACAGTTCTTATGAAAGCTAAAAAATAAGGTTAATTTAATAGGTACTTTTTAAAAAAATTAACTGCTAGAATAGTAGTTTGGTTTATCAAACAATAAATGCATTCATCAAACATTTATTAAACATCTGGTCTAGTAGCTTTGTGTTTTTATGATGAGACTAGAGGTCTGATGCACAAAATTCGTGCAAGAGTATACCTTCCTTCCCCGCCCCGCTGCCGGCACCGGCTTCCCTCTGGCACCTGGGACCTGGGCTTCCCTCCGGCTGCCTGCAGGTACCCAGGATCCGGGCTTCCCTTGCAGCCCCGGCTTCGTCTGGAAGGATGTCGGGTCTAATTATGCTTTTATTATAGACTAGAGGCCCGGTGCACAAAATTCGTGCACTGAGGGGGGGGTGTCCCTCAGCCCAGCCTGCACCCTCTCCAATCTGGGATCCCTCTCACAATCTAGGACTGCTGGCTTCCAACCACTCGCCTGCCTGCCTGCCTGATTGCCCCTAACCACTTCTGCCTGCCAGCCTGATTATCCCCTAACCACTCCCTTGCCAGCTCGATCGAAGCCTAACTGCTCCCCTGCCGGCCCTATCGCCCCCAACTGCCTTCCCCTGCCGGCCTGGTCACCCCCAACTGCCTTCCCGTTCCAGCTCCGTTGCCCCCAGCTGCCCTCCCCTGCCAGCTATCTTGTGGCTGTGGGCACTGCCATCTTTGAGGGTGGGGCAGAATTAGCATTTTCCCTCCTTATTGGCTGTGGGCACCGCCATCTTTGCAAGGGTGTGAGGGTCAATTAACATATTCCCTCTTTATTAGATAGGATAGTTATAGCACAGTATAATGTAACATGAAAAATAGAGAAATGAAATTCTTGGAGTATTCTGAAAAGAGAAAATTGACTCTTGAACAAGGTGTTGAATGAAGGATGTGTGCAAGATCCCAATTCATAGGATAAGGCAGTTACTGAGGAAAATACAGTAGGAGAATGATTATCAGAGGAAACTGTAAAACTGCAGGAAAGTTCATGATATATACCTGCTGTTTAGGGTGCTTGTTAGGAAATGATGGCAAAGTATGAAGGGTCTTGATCCTGAACCCTATTAAGAAGGGTTTGCCATCATGAAATTGGCTGTGAAATAATCTATCAGGTTTTTGTAGGTGCTAGTGCTGATTCTCATTACTGAAATAATGAATGAAATAAGATAGTGGTTGAAAGTTACTTTATGCAGAACTTAGCCTATTGGTAATTTTTCTTTAAAATTTCGAGTGTGCTACACAGTTTCAAGAAAAAAACTGGCACTATTATGATAGAAAATCCTAATGTGGGAGGAAAGGACACAATAAGAATTTTTGTTGTTGTATGTAACCGTTATAAATATAGTAGTATGACACTAATAAGGACAGTATAAAGATTCTTAAAACTGAAAATGTACTGGGAATTAGGTAAAATGGTCAGAATACTAAAACAAACAGTAGATTTCAATCTAGATAAAGTGACACGGAGGGCATTAAGTTCATTGCTTAGTATGGAATGTTGCAGTGATCATTGAGGAAACAAAAGAATTTATATTTTGCTTTTATCTTCAACTAGAGGCCCGGTGCACAAAAATTTGTGCACTCAGGGGGGAAGGGGGGGGTCCCTTAGCCCGGCCTGTGCCCTCTCGCAGTCTGGGACCCCTCGGGAGATAACGACCTGCTGGCTTAGGCCTGCTCCTGGGTGGCAGAGGGCAGGCCCAAT